TTTTTAATATTTCTGCCGCAGGAAACTGCAAAGCTTATGCGCTTGCTAGTAATCACACACACACTTATCTCAATCTCGTCGGATTCGGAGTGCCGCTATATTGTAGTTTACCATTGAATAGCTAAGCTTTGAGTTAGCTTTGGTTACCCGTCAGCACGGTAGGAAAGTGTTTTTAGCCTGGGATGAATCGCAAGAGCTTCAGCGCGTTCCATGTCTTAACTAAGGTTGACCTTTCCTTAAAGGTGAGGATTTTAAACGGGACTAAGATTGAAAAATTTTGTATCAAGATATGTGATATAGTTGTCTGATTTTCTTCATTTTCACTGTCATTGTTAAATATATATTAGAGAACAGTTCTGCGAAATTAGGAGATTTTAGTTTTTTAATTAAAGGCAGGCAGCCGGAAAGTGAAATATGTGAATAATCGTTTGTATGGGAGATATGTGATATACCTAGTTGTCCGATCTAACCAATTCCGACAAATGATCAATAGAAATTCAAAATTTCTTTCGGATATCTCAAAAACTGACGAAGAAATTTTTATATCCTGAAAAAAAACTTCACTCAAGAAATTGCTTGCTCGAAATCGATTTTAGACCCATATTCGCTTAGGTAGAGTTGTTCAGAATGATCCGTACAACATTTTTCGCTTACGCGATTTTTCCATTTTTTTGACTTTGTAAATCAACACGCTCTAACGTACGTATGCGAGTATGAAGAATATTGCCAATAAATGTTGTTTATTGCACACTAACGAAAAAGAGTTTGATTTATTAATTGTCGCCGAATATAGATTTGAGGAGCTTTATTTAGAAATATTGGTCAGACGTACTGAATTTGATATTTAAGGTAACACACTATCGCCACTCTTTTGTGCTGATTAATGTAGTTGATATGTGTTTTACAGTGGGTGATTCCGAACAGTGTTCTAAATCTTGATGAACCCGTGTGAAAATGATTATTTTTTGTAACCAGTTAAAAAAAGCTTAAGGTAGAACGATTCATGATTTAAAACCAATTGCAATTTTGACTCATTTTTTTATTTTTGTTATCAAAAAGATATGAGATAAAGTTAAGTGGTTATATCCACTTCCAAGCAAAAGGAGAAAAATGTACTTTAATAATGAAATTTTTTTTACAAATTTTGGATTACCATGATCCCGTATGCGATCTCCAAAGGAACCTGGAATATGATATATTTTTATACCCTGAACAGAGTATATTAAGTTTGCCACGAAGTTTTTAACACCCAGAAGGAAACTTTAGAGACCCTATAAAATATATATATAAATGAATAAAGCATGATGAGCTGAGTTGATTTAGCCATGTCCGTCTGTCCGTCCGTTCGTCCGTCTGTATATATGCAAACTAGTCCCTTAGTTTTTAAGCTATCGATCTGAAATTTTGCACCTGCCCTTTTCTCACTAAGAAACTGCTCATTTGTCGGAACGGCCGATATCGGACCACTATAGTATATAGCTGCGATACAAAGTGAACAATCGGAAGCAAGTCCTTGTATGGGAAGCTTTTTTATTTGACGTAATATCTTCACGAAATTTGGCATGAGTTATTTTCTAAGGTAACAATATAATTCACGAAGAAATTGTTTTGATCGGATGACTATAGCATATAGCTGCCATACAAACTGAACGATCGGAATCAAGTGCTAGTATGGAAAACTCTTTCATTTCACGAGGTATCTTCACGAAATTTGGCACAGAATATTATTTATTGCTTAAAAAAAAATTTTATTTTTTATTGCCGATTCACGAAATTAGATCTGAATCAAGTTATTGTAAATAACCTTTGTACCTGTGATGGGTATTATAGCTTAGTTAACGTTTTTTCTTGTTTTGATTAAACTTAAAAATAACGTCATTCCTTCGAACTTTTGTCTAAAAAATATGTCTAATAATGTTGTGTGAAAGTTTGAAGTGAATCGGTTTATCGATTTTTTTTTGATATTTGGGAGATATTTAGACCGATTTTGCACATATTCGAAAGCAGTTTATTATATATTTATGCTAATAGAGGGTACTATTTTAGAGGTATATAACTTTTTAGATGTATAGCCGGTCAAGACCGTCGTCTACGACCGCAATTAATCCAACTAGTAGAAGACTTAAGGCCATCAGAAGATTGTCATCTTTGCCCGCATTTCATCTTCAGCGATGACACACATTTCTGTTTTAAAAGAGAGAGAATTGCATTTTTTTCGCGCCATTCTCATAAAGTCTGTGAGTGTAGGTGTCTTGAACACTACCGTTATATGTGAGTTGAACGCCCTTATTACCCAGTTAAACACGTTTTCATATCGTCTAATTGAAACACTTTGCAGGATTAATCGATTTATATGCAACATCAATAAAATTGTGATAACAGTTGTTTACATACATTTTTATCAATAACTTTAAATAACAATAAATATCAGTGCGCTCGAATACGTATATAAAAATTTTTTTGCATTGCACAAATATAAGTATATAAATGTTGCTACCGATAAATTTACTTAACGATACACATACATATGGTATGTGTGCGTGGCCTAAATAGCATATACTGACAATGAAGTGGTCAATTATGAGACTTTGCCTACCACTTGACCATTCTTCATTCAGATTTAATCAGCAGATACAGTAAAAACATATGTAACACACAAAAAAATCGTTACCAGCACATAATAGTCGTGAATTCAATCATAAGAATAACTGATACCGCTAAGTAAGTTAGCTTGTTTAACATTTCAATGTTGTTGTAATTCATTAGCTCTTTTAATATATATGTTTATACCAAAATGTTCTAATGTTCTATCTTGCTTCCCTCTTTCCTTTCCATTTTGGTATGCCAAAAATTCAAAACAACAGTCTAGCGTAAATATGTATCTGTATATTTCTTTGTTAATTATTTTTGTTTTTTATACATATCTTATCAACAAAAATGCCATACGCTTTCTCTTTTTATCGGCTCATACGAAATTAGTGATAATAATAGGTGTCAGTGAGAAAAGTAAAGCGTAGCAATTTCAATTATCGCACAAATATTCGCAGCCTAAAGGTATGCTTTATATACTATCAACACTTTACATTACATGCTTTCACCACCCAGTAAACCAAATTTTTTCGTTTCACATAAGCAGGTTTAAACGTTATATCTTTGGTCGAAAAATTACGAAATTTTGTTAAACAAATTTTTGTTTCACTGCTTTTCCAAGCCGAATATATTCAATAAAAATTATTTAAATATAATTTCTAACCCTTATAGAATTATTCCGAAAAATCTGGAAAAAAATTTTGTTGATATATATGTAGCTGGCGGGTTCTTTTGTATTAATTGAAAAGCATAACTAGTCTGGCAGTCTAAACATGAGACGAATTTTGGGAAGAAAAAAACCGAAAAGAAATAATACTGCATCAATTGTTTTAACGTTTTTAGGTTATATTTATAATAATTTTGGAAGCAAAACGTTATTTAATCATGGATAAAATATAAAAAAAGTTCTCTCAAGCTACTGTAAAAAAATAAAAAATTAAAAAGATGGCGGCGTAAAAAAAATAAAATTTTTCCTAAAGTTTTAGTCGTTTTTTGACTGCCAAAATTCGATTTTTGATCAGATCAAAAACAATTTCTACATCATATGAAATGATAGTGATCGGATTGTTTGTCTGCGAGTTAACAAATTAGAAAAGTTTAGTTTATTATAGTATATTTTAAAATACGTTTAAAGATAAATTGATGAAGCTGATTGAAATGAGGGGCTACACTTTAGATGACTGTAACTTGGTTTTCAAAATCGAAAAAAAATTGTTTTTTTTTTATTTCACAACAGGGGTGTCCTTTAGAAATATTTTTTAGGTTCTATCTAGATATTCTATATCGCTGCTAAATATAATATAAAATGGCTTACGAAACATTGCAATTACCGTAGCAATTGTCAAATGAAATATTTATTCTCTACACCTTGAACTGTGAGAACTATGCCGAAGAGCTAAAGCTGAAGCCATTGTTAGCTACTAACTAACATGGGAGCTACTAGCCTAAAAAAATATAAAAGAAAAACAGAGTTCAATGCATAACATTATCTGTAAGAGAGAAACATTAGATAAAGTAGGGAATTTTAACTAAATAAGTGCAACGTTGCGTATGAGCAATTTTTTCTCGTTCGCATGATGATACTGCGTATACGTGACTTATCAAGGGTTAAATAATGAGACAGACATAACATATGTACATATGTGTTTCCTTAACAACGGTTAAATAATGAGATAGATGTGTTTGCTTATCTGGTTTGTTGTCATATACGCCAGTTGTATATATCGCAAGGACCTACTTTTGTTAGTCTAAAATTTTGGAGCACCACGATATCGATAATGGTATGGATAAGACTATATCAATAAGGTTATCAAGTATTTATTTATTTTTCCTACTCACGAAGCAGAGGCAAAAGACTGGAATACTAGATGATATACTGGCCATTCTGGATTTTTCGACTAATTCTCTAGTAAATTTTTCAAATAAAAAAATAAGAATTGTAAATTCCCAGCGTTGATTTTTGAATAGCTCCGCTTAGCAGCTATGATTCGACTACGATTCAAAACATTTTCATTCAATTAAGCGACCTCAGGATTCGATATGGAATTCAACGAAAACGGAGTTTTTAATGATATGATTTAACGATATGGTAATAAGCTGAACGTTGGGGACGTCAAATCTGGATGATGGATCAATGAAAAATCCCTTGAAATGCACCTATTTGCTAAATTTAATTCTTATAACGCAAGACTTTGCGTTCAAACCGGCATACAGATGGAAGGATAGGTCTATATTTTTATATATTCAGCGCACCTTTATAATAGTTTAGTATACTTTTATGAAGTTGTATTTGTTATTTATCATTTAGAACCAAAAAAAGTTTGTTGTACGATAACAGCGCGACCACGAAAAAAAAGCCGTCACACTTGTGGGATTTATCTCAAATATATGTTTAAATATAGTCGTTCTCATAACTTTTATTTTACTTTATTTGCGATAAATTTTTTGGTGTTGTAACAAAAATTATTTTGACATCTTCGTTCTATCCGCCAATGTGCGCTTAGAATAAAATAATTAGAGTGTTAATAAAAAGTTCTGTACACATTACTTTGTTTCGCTTAATTTTCATTTTTGTTTTTATTTTGTAAAAATCATTTGTTAACCTAGGAAACAAAATTAAAATATAGCTAACAATAAGGATTTTGGTAAAATTCTAAATTTAAATATTTCGATTTGCATGATTTTCGTACTTAATTCCAAATACAAACTAAATTATTTGTAAACATCTTTAAATACATAAGTATATATCTTTTAACGTTCCACCATTCAATTGGCCAAATTTTTGTTTATTTGGTTTAAACCAACGTCACTACACACACTGTCAGTTGTCCGTATGTGCCATTAACGGCATTTACGAGCACAACACGACGCATTATTGCCGGCTCAGCAGTGCAGCAATCAACGTGAACACCAACGCGGCCATTGAAACGCCCAGTGCGCTGCTGCCGTTACAACTGTTATTCGAGCAGGGTATGCACTTGCTCAGTTCAGTACCGTTATTCAGCGCCTTCAGCTGACCGCAAACGCTTTCCATGGTGGTGACACGCGAGCAGCCACGTTCCATCTGTACACTGCCGTTAACTGGAATAACAAAAATAAACACATTTACAATATATTTCGTTATATAACTGATTGATTTTAGAAAATAGCTGATGCGCTACTCACCTTCCTTTTGCACACTGAAGCAGTGGTAGGTGTAAGTGCCGCTAACAAGTGGCAACGCTTTGGGTGCTTCATAGCTAACTGTACTCTCGGTGCTGTTATTGCTGATGGTCACTTCAGTGGCGATCAAAAAATCAGCAGCAACGGTGCCTACATTAGGTGGTGTGGGCACGGTTACTGGTGGACCCACGGTAGGTGCTGTCGGCACTGCTTCGGTAGTGGTGCCTTCGGTGGTAGTCACCTCGGTGCTGTCTGTGGTTGTTGTGGCAAGTGTTGTGCCGATTGTGGTGGTGGTTGTGCTGTCCATTGTTGGCTCAGTTGTTGTGGTCGTGGTTGGCTCTGTGGTGGGTTCCAGTGTGGTGCTGCTCTCTTCGAAGAATTTCGCATCGCATGCTTCGAGTGGTGTTTCTTTTGTAACTTTCGCACAATCTTCGCAAACATAACACATCAGTGGTGTGGTAGAGGCGACTGTGGCGCTGTGGCATGCTGAGGATTAGAGAGTGAGATAGAGAGCGTTAAAAGAGCGTTCTTATGCAGTTTATTAAATGTTTAGAAGCAATAGTAAATTAAATTTCTTGATTTTTTATTGAAAAAAACTGGCATATACCTATTTAAAGTTGTGCTCATGTAGGTTTGTTTACAAAACACTAAAAAATATTTTGGTGAAATTCCCCAAATATTGAATTTTTAATTTATGGCAACATATTTATTCAACAATGATTTTGCTATTTTTGTTATCAAAAATTAAGTATGTTTTTTTGCGGTTTTCATATTTATTGTGTATGTGGTATATATCATTATTGTAGTGATGTGCGACCTAATATAAAAAAAAGATAAGGGGTGATAAAGTTACCCGTTGAGGTCAGCGCTATTAATATTTTCAAATATTTCGGATTTCTATGCAACTTTTAAGCCCGCAATCTGTTTTTTGCTTGAAATGATGCACATCCCTTAATTATTCTCACAAATAAAGAGTTGTCTACCTAAGATTGTCGAACTAGCATTAATTTGTCTTAATATTCACAAAACACTCAAGAATTATTTTTATACTCTATTTATTCAGCTTCTTTTTATGTAAGACACTTTTTAAAGCTGGTAAATTCAGTGATTTATAAGGATTTTGCACCGTGTTTGATCTCCTCCTTACTCACAACTTCACTTCTATTTTTGTAAGACAGCCGTGTTAAACGCAAAATATTGATGTAAGGTTATTCTTCCAAAAAGCAACTACTTATTTTTTTCAGCCTTAGTTTCTCCCTATATTTTCAGGTTTATATACATTTTCTTAACGCATACGAATTTGATGTTATTAGTTGGTAATGTGACGTCACTTTAGCAAATGCCCATCTGAACTTTATCATATACAATTCTTCAGAGTTTGTTTTATATACCAAATAATAACTTTTATCAGGAATAACTGACATTTACTGAATTTATATTGCGTCATTACTTATTTTATCAAAATATATTTTTAAAATGCTTAACTCTTTTATTTAATAAAAAACCAGTTAAAAGAAGGAAAACATAATTTTCTTTGTCTCCCTTTGTGCTATGCGGGATTCTTCCATTTACTAGCCATCTGTTGATCTTCACTATTATCATGACAATTTTAACAACTGTCACTCTTGTCTTGTTTACCTCCAGAACGTTGTGAAGACAGAGAAAACAAAGGGAAGAGTTAAAGGCATGCAAGGCGCACTGGTTGGGTTAAATATTTACTTGCAACAACAAAGAAGTAAATGTACATAAAAGCACACATATGTACATACGTATAACCTCGTAGCCACGCCGTGACTGACAGGTTGGTTAGAGCAGATTTTTGCATATTTTTTTTTGGTTGTTCTTAGTAAAGTACTGAGCTGTCGCAGAAAAAGTACCGATTACTGTTAAATAAAGTTCTTTTCTTAATATGACCGTTAGAAAAGGTTTGTCGTCCATATTTCATGATTTTGATATATTGTTGTGAATGGTGTTGGTGCTTATTCAAAGCAGTAATGAAAACGATTCCACGTAATTAAAATTTTTTATACATTTTTTATCAAAAAGCTGTCACGTTTTTTTTAATTCATCAAAGTGTGATTTCCAGATTTCAAGCGGAAAAATTTTACTCCTTCTATGCTTACTGTACTATGAAAAATAAAGTACAACTCGATTGCTTGGTTTAATTAAATTTCTAGCATGGTTGAATATATATTTTAATTATTTTCTCTTAATTTGAAGGCTAGCAATTACTTGCACATATATTATCATTAATTTATGCAGACTAGTAATAATATTTGAATAATTTATTTCACTAGACATTGTATTGCTTCTAAAACTTGCCCACGATTGAATTTAACATTTAATTATATGTATGTTATAACGTTGTAAATACCGCGTAGGAAATGGTGATCTATAAGTAATGTATATAGTAAGGTGCCAGATTAAAAATTAAATGATAAATTACCAACTGAATAGTAACAATTAACTTAGAAAACAAAGCAAATGGCAGCATGAGGAGGCACCAATAGAGTATGGGTATCACTACACATACATAATTTGAGCGAAAAGAGAGTAAGACAGTACACAAATTTTGATAAAATTCAGGCACAAACTATAAAAATATTAAGTGTGTAAATATTTAAATCATATACTTCCAGTTCATGCTTTCGTAGCTGTTTTTTTGGAAATGTGTCAAAAGTAACGAATTCCCTGCTGGGTATGTATTGTACGCGAAAATATTGCTTTTGGAATATTGAAATACATTTTCGTATGCCACTATTTGTTGTTACAAAATATAGTAATATGAGAATGATTAACTGTTTTTTTTTACTAATTTTTTATTACTGTATCTTTCTCAACTGCTACGTTATAAATAGGTAAATGTGTAAAGACATTTGTATTGCAATATAATTATCAATGCCTTGTAAGCACTTTTACAAATGTTTATAGCCAAATGCGAATATTGAGTGTCAAACTACTTTTACCACATGCTTTATGTACATAGGTATATACATATATATATGTATATATATGGGCCAATTTGTATAAATATATAAATAAAATATATTCATAATATTATTTAAATAAAAATAATGAATTAAAGTTGAGTTATCGGAATTTCGGCATTGTATGAAATCAATATCGGGATCCCGAAAAATTTCGGGATGATAATTTTACTATATCTGTTTTTCTATAAAAAAAATTAAAAATATTAGTGCATTAAAAACACATGAATCTTAAAGCAACGTTTCGGGATTTCGTCATTGTAATACCAAAATTTTGGAGTTATGTTGTTACTTTTTCACTTTTTTATAAAAAAAAATAAAAATGAACAATCGCAATTTCGAAATTTTCCAAAACCAATATCGCGATTAGGAAAAATTTCGGGATTATATTTTTGCTATATCTGATTGTTTTTATTAAAAATTATAAATTTTAGAGCATTAAAAACACATAAAACGTAAAGCAACATTTCGGGATACCGCACAAAATTTATTTGACTATACATACATATTTTCTAATATTTATATTGAGCGCGTAGTATTTACATATATTCCTTGTAACAGCAGTTAGTTTTTATTTCCTATATGAAAAAGAAAAGCCTTCTTGCCGCTGTCAAAATATGTTTATTAATGTATTCTCACATACTCTTATAAATTTATTTATTTATTGTCATAAGTTAATTAGCCAAACAGCTTAAAAATTAATCATGTGATATACTTGTAAGTTTTTATGTACATAAATATAATATATAGGAAAGTATATAATATATACATGTGGGTTATAGCACATTTGTTGCCGTTTTGCCAAGTAGTGTCTAACTGCTTAGGTAAATATGTCAGCTTAGGTGAATATTTACAAATCTACATGACCATAAATTCATACACATTTATTTTGCATATGTGTACATATATACGTACGTATATATACATATTTGTGTGTATATTCATACGTTCTTTCGATCATAATTCAATTTACTTTAGTTCACCAGCCATTGTGTTTGTAAGCTGACATTTAATTAACATTTTACTGTTTGTTCGCAGATTATTGTGAAAGACTGTATATTACATACATATTTACATTATTGAGAATTCCCACAAAAAGCGAAAACAATTCAAGCACTTGCAATTGCATTACTTTGAAATTACCAAGAGTCCATAACTAAGTATCTAATAAATTAGCTTATAGTTTTTCCCACTTTCCAGTTTAGTTTTTAAAATCAACTATTTAGTTGCACGAATTTGCATATAATTGATATAGGTGTTTTCGTGTTGCCTCTTCTTTATGCATTTCAGCTTAATTCTCGTGTTAAAAATTTTCATATGAAAACAACAACAATGCAATCCAAACTGTTTGATTTATAGCGGTTTGTTTGTTCTATTCGTCACTAATCAAAGTTGAACGCAGCGAATCTTCTATACACAAACATTCCTTGCCTTATTTATGTAAAAAATTGGCGCAAATTTATAGAAAATAAAAATGTTGGCTTTAGTAAAGTTTAGAACTTAGAAAATGCTAGCATACCGGTGTTTATAACAAGAAAATATTCAAACCTTTACTAGTAGACTTTATAAAGTAAAGTACATAGAAATCCTTTGCTTCTGACTACAAATCTGTCATATTTCCATTTTAGTCTCAAAGTATGGGCAATGGCTTCATGTGAATTTGATTTTGGCCATTATTGTTAGATTAACCCATGAAAATATTTAAAATTAGTTAATATCTAATTTTTCTTTTTTTGCTGATCCCCCGCGAAAGTTTGAAACACCCATAAAAGCATGAGGATAGTTCAAAGATAACAACTATAGTTCAGATATCTTCTCAGCAACGCCTACTCCAAGAATTATAAATTTTACTTTTTCAACAGCATGAGTAACAAAAATTTATTCATTAATAATTTATAGAACTTTTATCGTACGTTTTAGTGGTCACAACTACGTCAAGGACAGAAATTATAGTATATATTTTCAATTTGTTAATGATTGTGGTTTGTAAGCCAACATTATTTTTAGCATACCAATTTTGGCAGAAACTCGGCAAACCAAAAAGAATTTTAGTCTTCCGCCTCTCTAGAATAGTAAAAAGTATCGGGATCTTGCACTTTTTCTGGTAATTAAGCATTTAAAACCAAGAAACTGAAACGTCCCACACCTCGTGAGAACCTACAAAGTTCATGGAGCTAAAGAGCTAAGGTCTCCACTGCTGCGTTAAAGCACTTTCAGAAGTTGAATTTGTTATCGGCGACACTAAACAGTTTGTTAATCATGAAAAATAAATCTCTGGTGCCATAACTTGGACTTGTGGACAAAAAATATTGAGCCAAGTGCCATGTGAGTTATAAAAAATCCTCTAAGCTTGTTTTATTAAAATTCGTTAATTTCTTGCATATATGTTATTCCTTTCTGCACATTATTAACCCTTACTTGATGCGCACAAAGGTTTCTCATAGTGAAATTTGCTCAAAATGATAAAAAAGCTGAATAATTTTTTTTGCAAAATTTTTTTTTTGTTTTTTTTAAATATTGCCACACATAATTTTTTGTTAAACCACTAATAAAACAGTTTATTTTTGTTTAGTGTAAATTACCTTGTACTATGCACGCCAGCAACAGGAAGCCCGTTAGTTTTCTTATATTTTTAATTTGTTGCATTTTGTATTTATTGTTGTTTTTTGTTTATTCAAAAAGTTACAATTGAGATTTTTATTTGATTAATTTTAATTTTAATCTAATTTATAATAATTTTTGTATTTTTTATTCCTTTAAAAGCAATCAAGTTGATAGATCTGCTGCAAGAAATGCGAGATACGCGATGACACGAGAAACACAAACTAACGCAACTAAAATATTATTTCGATCTTTATTTAAGAGTTATTATCCTTGCTATTTCACTTTGCTTGTGCGCGTCAACCGCCGTTTACGAATTTCAAAAATTAACTGAAAATCTCATGATCCCATTGAAAGTTTATATATGTATTTTCTGTGCTTTAAAGCGTGCTCAGCTCACTACTGCCACTGTCAGCTGTCCAGCGGTGCAATATGTACGAGTGTATGTATTATATGGCCGATCGCAGCGCGCCATTTACGAACCTTACTGAGCGCAACTGGCAGCTACTGTTCTACAGTAACCCCCTTCCGCTTACACTGTACTGTTTTTTTAGCTCTCTCTTTTTCACTTCCATTGAGTGCCTTCTGGCCGACAATATGCTCGATACTGAGCTAATTCTGGCAACTTACATATTAACTGACCCAACTGACTTAATTATTATCAGCGTAAAAACTATTTTTGATAAATAAAATAAACTAAAAACAAAAAGTGGTAACCGGCAGTAAAAGTGAAGCATAGTCTGGCACCGAAGCACAGCGTGGAGACAAACAGTGAGCGATTTGCTAATTATCAAACAGCTGAGTTTTGGGTATGCTTTCTGTAAATACCGGTGACTTGTTTGTGTGCACGGGAGGGGCGGTGGAGAAAAGTGCCGCCACTGTAAATAAAGAACAGCAGAAATAAAAGCAAGAATTCCGCAAAAAGTGTTTGTATTTGTATTTGCTTGTTGTTTGCAATGTTTTGTTTTTTTTTTTCTCCTTTGTCATTTTGTGATTTCTGCATTTAACTTATATTATTTTATCTCACAATCGGTGCTCAATATGACAATATCGCCAATTAATTGTTGACCAGGTATACCGCTGTCTCGGCTTCTAAATGTCAACGAACAGACGTTGTTAGTTGACGGGTTCTCTCATATGACGTAACACACGTAAGCTTGCATATTGTTTGACTACCTGCGTTCAACGTTCAGTGTGTGTCATGCGATTTGCAGAAATCAAAACAAAATACAAAAGAAGCACTCATTAATTTTTGAACTTTCTTGATTTACTAACTTAACCATATTTTTCGCATTTGGACGGTGATCGCACTGCTAGAAGGCGTACTAAGAAGTGCGTAGGCTTTTAGAAGCTGTGTTGGTTGAAAGTGAACTTTGTTATGTCTGTTTTTAGCTTAAAAGTAGAAAAAATTATGCTTATATACATCGACATCGTTTGCGCGGAATTTAGAATTGCATACATATATTTTTGTTTGTTTGCAGAGAGAGTTAGAGGGTAAAAGAAAAACTTTGAAAATTTATTTAAAAAGTTGGTGGAAATACTTGTAAAGGGCAAAAACTAAAGTTATTCTTTATATACAAGTATGTATAACATTTCATGTTCCACTTTTTAGTTAGATTTGGTTAGGTTAGATGGCTGATCACTCGGAATGGCGGAGAGATCACATTTAGACTGTTATCTTCAGACCTTTGTGAAGCCAAACGAAGAACTCCTATCCAACATACTAGCTATCGTCAAAGCGCCCTGAACCTATCACAAATGTGCTAAGGTGTTTTATTTCTATTTTTGCCATTTCACCTGGATGTCTAAGTGTATGAGACTTGAGGGGTTTTTGCCATGATCTGGCAAAAGCGGGACATTGGAGAAAGTGTTGAGATGTTCTTATTTCATCTTCTTCCAAACATCTAATAGAGCTGCATCATGTAAGATGTTCAATCTTATTGCGTAAATCCCGATAGAACAGTGTTCAGTTAGAACTGCTACAACCATTGAAAGGTGAACATTGCTGCGAGTAAAGAAATTTTAGAGCTCTCTAGACCTCTTCCGATTTACCCTGGACCAGCAGGACCTTGCGACTGTACAGCTGATGGTAGTTAACCAACACTTGCTGAGCTGGTCTGAGGCCCAGTGGTTCAGTTGCAAACCACAGGAAGCCAACGGAGCTTCTACCCGTTCGAATTTTACAGTTCCGTTCTCTAGTAGCCCTTATAAAATTTGTGTCTGAGTTAGTTTTCCGTCAGCGAGTAACTTATCGATTTCCTTGTGAGAAACGGTGTATCGTAAGATGAAAACCGAGAGCTCGAAATGATTGACCTTAGAATTGATCCATTGCCATAATGTTCTAAAATATATTCACCGTTATATTATTTTATAAAATATCTTATTTGATTTCATTTGTAAAATGTGAGAACCAATAACCAAGGAAATCGCACTATGTTCAGAAATTTGTCGAAAAATACAAAGAAGTTTGCTAAATGAAATTTTAGAGAATCCATTATTATTATCCCAGAGGTGTTCCCAGTAAAATGTATATCATATGTTGAAGTTAGTGAGCTCAAATGTATCAGAATTTACACCATTAACAACCACCGCATTTCTGGGCTGAATATTCTAAAACTTCGGATTTTTTCATAAAATATTACAAACCATCTAAGTCAATGTCAAGCCGTTATAGAATAGCTTTTGAAAGCTTATGAAAATATCACTATCCCCTTTAAAACTTAAACACGTTGTATATTTTAATGGCATCACAATTGGCCTCTTAAAGGCCTATGTGTGTCGTAAGACAGCCACTCTACCTATTTTGGTCAAGCCCTTTAAATTGTATAAAGACCACATTAATCATCTACTTCTATCTTATTTACCCTCAAACATTAAAATATTAGGTAGCTTTAAACTCTATCGCTCATGTGGTGATCCAGTGATTAAAAACATTTACGTAGAACGAAAAACTATTTTCTAGAGAATTGCCGGACGATATGTAAAATTAATTAATATGTAATATTAACCGTTATCAATTTCTTAGTACAGTTTAAGTATGTAAAATTTATCAGTGATCGATTGCCACTAAAAATAAAAATATTTAAAGCACTTCACTTTATAAAAATATATTCAAATTCATTTCATAAAATAATCTTTTGTCAGTTTAAAAAATAATTATGCTGCCAACATAAACCACTGCATTAAAACAACCGTTGCCTTATTAGGTTGTGAGTTTTATAGATTTTTTTTCTTACCGTTACATATTAAGTGGGTTTATTTTCTCATTCGGTAATATCGCGTATATAAACGAACGTCAACTTGGTCATATCTGGTTACAAAAAAGTCAAACACATTCTGATTGTATATCTTAATCTCTCTAAAATATAGACCCGTATTTAAAATTAAATTAATGAATATTTCATTTTTAATATAATATTGGAAATATTTTGAGACAATAAAACTCCGAGCTAAAAGGGTATTTTGGGTATGTCTTAACTCTCTGCGGATAATTTGAAACTAATCGGATATTACAAACGAAAGATAACAAGAGGACATAAAAAAGTGGTGTTAGCAGAGTCGGACCATTTTCTCATGGTACGCAGATAGAGGAAGCATATTAAGCATCTAAATCTTTTGTTAAGCACATTGTGAGTGTTGTTTCACAAATTTTATTCGAGTCCACATACATATGAATTTCATGATCAATTTATGAATAGGAAAACTGTGGACGCATGCAGGGTGCTTAATCTTACATTGAGCTTGTGACAGACATAGCTTGAAGAAGCGATTGAGATCGATTTGTAGTCAAAAAATATATCATACAAATGTGCAGAATCATAAGTAGTATGGAAAGTTCAGGGTTAAATCGTTGACTTAGAAATTTGACTTAGAAATTTGATATTTGAGTTATGCGCTAACCTTTTTGCGTGTAATTTAATGAAATCAATAATTCGTTTTAATTATTACTAAGTCCTCAAACACCGACATGTAATGGCTTTACATCCGACATAATATACTTTATTTAGGAGTCCCAACAACACACCGCATACCAAATTACCGAGTTACAAGCTGATATGAACAGCTTGACGCCAGTTAACTAAAAATAATGAACCAGATGGTAATAGGCAGTGGTGTTAGTTGGGATTTCTAGCACATTCATTAACTATTTAGTTTAACCAATTTTATCACCAATTGGGCGCTTCTACTACACTTTTATTTTGTTGTACGAGGGTGATATGACAAGTCGGTGTTTTTTTCTACTAATTGCTTTTAAGTTCAAACATGGCTGCTAGGTTATGTTAGCAAGACATCTCTAGTTAGCAAAGAATTATTTGACTGATTGACTTGGGAAACCCAAACGAGCAGAACAGTGTAAATGTTGGTGAAAGGCATTAATATGCCATTATCTGCCGATGATATGTTCTGATTTCAAATCTAAAGGCGTAAGTTTGGCGTAAAACAAAACGGAAATAATTGCGAAACAGGAAATTTCTAAATTAAATATATGAAGTTAAATTAATTCCTAATCAGTATTCCATGACTTCCTTCAGATTTCTAAGAACACTCCCTTAAAATTTGTCTGGAATGGGATGAAAAATAGTGAAGAGTTTGATAAGTGAAACACCAATAGGAGTTTTCTGATAACTTGAAATTTAGATCTTAAAGGTTTCTAAAACCAAATATAATTTTTACTACAGTAATAATGGCTTCACCATCTGTAGCTTTGAATACTTCTAGATCTTCTTGTGACGAAATAGTAGATTGTCTTAGAAAGTTATTCGTTTTTAGTGTCCCTTTCTATGGAAGGTCTTTATTTGCTGCGAGAATACAAGTATTTTTAATAAAATCGGCAGCGGCATCTTCTCGGCGCAATTAGACACAGCTTTTGTTTTTATCTGAGCGGCAGAAAAAATTAGACAAATAATTTGGGGAATATTGGCGACTTATTGATCCTTCGCCGGCTAAAAATCCGGGCCCGTTATGCTTAGTTAAAACCTGGCTGTTGTGGAGATTACAGTTCTTGTTGCTTGAGTAAGTTCACTGTTTGAAAAACTTTGAAAGCCATATGTTCCAGCGCTACTCCAGATAGTGTTATAATTTTTGATAACCCCGAAGATTTTTTTCGGCCTTTGGGAGCTTAGACAACGTTGCGCTTTCAGTCTACTTTTCATTTGCTGCTTCTTCTGTATTCCTTTCTCTGACTTTGCAATCCGTCATCGTATCACATGACTTATTTAGCCGAATTAAAATACTATTTCATTAGTCCGCTGACAGCTAAAGTTAACAACTGCTTTATTTACATATTTTGTCACTTGTTTCATACATACTAACATACATTTGTACCTGTTAGATAATTGTTTTTTTTTTTGCTTGTTTACATGATCGAAGCCAGTTGTTTCCTTCAATTAGTGCTAAGGTCAGCGCTTCGATATGCAAATTTAACTATCGCATAAACGCCAAATTCAAATTCACACACAAACACACTCCTCCATACAAATTTGGTTTAACCAATTCAGCAAAAAAAGCTTAGATTGTTGTAATCGTAATAATTTTTCCGCAAATCACTGAAGTGGAAAACTTCGGCGCACAACAAAATATTTCACCTCGTTGTTTTTTATATAGATTTAACAACAAAAAAAATAAAAAAGTCGAAAAGTAACTACACAGTACTTTTTTGCTTTTAATTTATATGATTTTTATTATATAATTGTTTTCATATATAGGTATACTATTTATTCTGTCTTTGTTGCGCTACTAAGTGAATTAGCAAATAAATCACGTAGGTAATCAGCAACATCGTGTTAATTCGTCTGCAGTATGAAACTGAAAAACAAAAATAAAAAAACAACAACAATGTTATACAAAGCAACTATATATATATGTGGATCTGGTGTACATTTTTCGGCGATTAAAATGATTCTGCATCATAATTGAAAAAAGAATTGACATGCTGTGCTTGTCATGAAAAAAATCGTATAAATATTATGCATGTGCCATTTTTCCATTATGAATAAAACTATATATTTACATACACATATACTCGTATACATGCAAGTATATACTAACATATGCAGATTTAACATTAACACTTTTATATTTATCTTTCAGATTGTCATATATATGGATTTGTGATAGTCAATTTAAATAAGTTTAAATATGGTAAGTAATTGTACAATACAAGTATATTAAACAGAAAAAAACCGGTTGAAT